ATGATATACCCTACTGTATGATACAAAATTATAAAGTGTTAGTAATGCTGAACTTTAACATTTATGCTTCTTGATGACTATTTGTATACAGATTCATGGATAACACACCATATATCTATACAGCTCAATTATAATGAATCTATCTATTATAAGATTTATTGATACTTTTTACTTTTAGCGTCTTATAATGTAGAAATATGACGATACTATTAAAATCACATGAATACACATATCTCAAATAAAACAATTGGGAGGGGTATATGAAAGTAAATAAGTGAAGGAGAAAAAAGTAGTGAGAGGAGAGAGAGAGTAAAATTATAATGATAAATAAATGAGAAAGAGAGAGAGAGAAGGAGAGATTAAAGTAATATATATATTCTCAATATATATAGATAATTATATATATTTCTATATAATATGAATATTATTATATATTCTATAATATTATATATATAATCTATATATATATATATAGTATATATAATATATAATATTATAATATGTATATTTATATATATAATATATATATAATTATAATATTATATATATATATATATATAATAATATATATTTATATATGTATATATGTATATAATATATATATATATATATATATATATATATATATTTATTTATTATAATATATAATATGTATATATATATATATATATATATATATATATATATATATGTGTGTGTGTGTGTGTGTGTGTGTGTGTGTGTATAATGAAACTGCATGAGAATATTTGATATATGTATATTAATGTTAAGCTTAAACCAAGAACTGCCTCTGTAAATGTGGGCACTCCATTAAGGAAGGGCACTCCAGTCTTATATATTGAAGGTGTAAAGCAAGTTTCAATTAGGAGACCATTTAGTATTATATATAGGTCAATGATGGTAATTTTTTTTATTATAATAAGATATTTTGGTTTAAACTTAAATATTTATTATATGATACAGTTCCACGAGTCTGGCAGTTTGGAGCTTCTGTAGCTCTTTGATATTCTCAAGACAGAAATTGCATTGATAATATGTACATATCTGAAAAAATACGAGTGTGAACTCTTAACAAAATTCTTGTACAAGGTAAGATATCAAGTGACAGATATATGCATTTGTGGCAAAATACATATTTAATATACAGTGATTGTACTGGTACTTATCTATGTGCCCTATCAGATTACATACTCTAGGGTACTATGGGAGCTAAGAAAATGTAAGAAACAGAATGCATATATTAAATCCTAAGAATCTTGCTCATTACTACTGCTAAGGAGTCAGACCTTGGATTACCAGGTGCCAAAAGACAATTGTACATCTAATACCTGACTGCAAACTTTTCATAGTGCTAGTACTTTAACTATCCATTG